AATCACACAAAAAAAAAAAATTAATGCACACAAAATAAAGTCTGCTGATTATTTTTTGAAATTTTTTAAACCAAATAATTAATTTTTGCAGAAAGAATCATTATAGAAAAAAAACGAAAAAAAAAAAATAAAATAAAAAAAAAATAAAAAAAAAAAAATTATTTTTAAAAAAAAAAAATTTAATCAATCACAATTTTATGTAATTTTTTTTTTTTTCATAATAACTAAAAACGATTTTGTGTGCAAAGTTGATAGGGAGAGTGTATTGCGTAATAGAAATTATTTTATATTTAAAAAAAAACACTTCAATCCATTTTTTTGGTTTTTTTTTTTTTCTTTTTTTTATTTATTCAGTGTTTTACCCAACGTATATATCTCCATTTTTTTTTTTTTTTTTTAGTTTTTATTACATAGCCATTTGTTATCGTTTATAAAAAAAATCATAATATATATTTTGTTTTTTTTTAAATATTTATTATTACAAAACTCAAAAAAAAAAAAAAAAAAACCAAATCTATATAATTTTTTTTTTTTTTTAAATCCCCATCAATAAAATTCGATAAAACTGTACCCATATAAATCATATAATAAAAAAAAACTATTTTTAACAAAAATAAACAACTTGTAAACTAAAAACAATAACATAAATAACATTACTAAATATAAATATAAATACAAATAATATAAAATATAATTAAAAAAACAATGGAAATTCCCAGCGTTGGCCCATTTATTATAGGCAAAACCTTAGGTCAAGGAACTACAGGTAAAGTCAAATTAGGTTTTCATAAAAATACAGGTTTTAAAGTTGGTATCAAAATCATCAACAAAGAACTTCTTATAAATAAACCTTCAATGCGTAGAAAGATCGAAAGAGAAATTGTATTAATGAAACTCATTGATCATCCAAATGCAATGAAGATGTACGAAGTTTATGAAACATCAAAATATTTGTATGTATAATTATTTTATTTTATAGTTATAATCAAAATCAATATTATTTGTAATAGAGAAATATAGAGAAATTTTATCGCGAAAAAAAAAGCAAATATTTCGACCATCAAATTTATTTAAAGTTTACCATACAAACTTATTATTATGAGACAGCTAGTATAAATCTCAAAAAAAAGATATTTTTTTTTTTTTTTAAAAAAAAAATAGAGTTTTTGTCTATTGCGCCCATAAAAAAAAAGAAAAAATAAAATATCTGTTCGCTATATTTCTCTATATTTCACTCACAATATTTATTGTTATAATTATAACTTGTTTTTAATTATAATAATACTAATATAATTTATCTTTTTAAAAAATAGATTTTTAATTTTAGAGTATGTAGAAGGTGGAGAGCTTTTCGATTATTTAGTAGAAAAAGGTGGTTTAGAAAGTGGTGAGGCTTTATATTTTTTTCAACAAATTATTATTGGTTTAGAATATTGCCACAGTAGAAATATATGGTAAAGTATAACATAAAACATAAAATTAATTAAAACTGTCAAATATTAATTTATTTTTTTACAATTTAATATAGCCACAGAGATTTAAAACCAGAAAATTTATTATTAAGCGGCGATAAAAGAATTAAAATTGCTGATTGTATGTAGTCATTATTTTTCAATTTTTTTAAGTAGGTTCAGGTTACTAATTTTATTTCTTTTATTTAACAAAAAAAAAAAAAAAAATAAAAAAAAATAGTTGGTATGGGTTCCATTGTTCGTAAAGATATGTTATTACATACCAGTTGTGGATCACCACATTATGCCAGTCCTGAAGTGGTCTCTGGTATTGATTATGATGGTCAAAAAGCCGATGTTTGGAGTTGTGGTGTAATTTTATATGCATTATTAACTGTAAGTATTTTTTATTAGTTTTTTATTATTTTTTTTATTAAAAAATTTATTAACCACAATTTTTAAAATATAGGGTAAATTACCATTTGATGACGAAAATATTAGAAGATTATTAAATAAAGTTAAAAATGGTGCTTTTTCAATGCCACCATATATTCATAAAGATGCCCAAGATCTTTTAACCAGAATGTTAACAGTCGATCCAAGTAAGAGAATTTCAATTAAAGAAATTAAAGAACACCCATGGTTTACATCAAACCACAGCCAATTCCAAAAAGCATCACCAGTAGAAGAAATTGTAAGGTCTATTATTATAAATATAATATAAAAAACAAAATAAAATATTAATATATTTTTAGAATGCAGATCCATTAATTGACCAATCACAAATTGACGACGATATTTTTAGAAGTCTAATGGCACTTGGATTAGGTTCAGCTGAAGAAGTTAAACAACAATTAGTTTCAAATCAAAAACATGTTTCTCTTATTTACTATAGATTATTGGAAGAAAGAAAGAAATTCGATAGCGATGTCAACAAATATGGTTATAAGCCAAAGGAAGCAAGAAGAAACAGTTTATCAGAGATTTCATTGAAAAGAATTTTCAATGGTAGCAACAACAATAACAATAACAATAACAACAACAGCAATAACAACAGTAGCAATAATAGTAGTAGCGGTAGTAAATCAAATGATTCACAACCAGTACAACCACAATTTATTCAACAACAACAACCCCCACAAGCTCATCAACAATCACCATCAAATTCATCATCACAAGAGTCAATGCTTACTAATAGTGGTAGTAGCTCAAGCAGTATTGGAAGCGGTGTTAGTAGTAGTGGCAGCAGTGGTAGTTTTGGTAGCAATAGATCAGAAGGTTTACTTAAACAAGCTTTACAACAACATCACCAACAACAACAACAACACCAACAAGTTCAACAACATTCACCACAATACCAACCAATGCAAATTGATAAACCATCAAGTGGTAGTGTTGGATCATCTTCAAGCAGTCCAGTTAGCTCAACATCATCATCCGCTTCAACTTCACCACAACTTCAATCAGTTAAACCAGATCATTATCAAAGAAGAGGTAGTATGACAGCCACTACTAATCCAGCAACTAGTCCAACCATGTCACACAGAGGTAAAACTTCATCACCAATCGAAATTACATCCAAAGTTAGAAAACTTAAGATTAGCGAGTCAGGAGGTGGTACACCAGGTTCACCAATTATTGGTAGTAGTCCAAAGAAATCATGGTTCTCTTATTTCTTCTCTAAAGGTAATAGCAGCAACAATTTAAACAATAATAATCATAACAACAACAACAGTGGTAATCATTCACAAGCTAGCGGTAACTTTGTCATTGATAGTAAAATTGATGTCAATTTAATTTATGTAAATTTAGAAAAGATAATTAAAAAATATGGTTATGAATGGAGATATCAACAATCAGCAGCTCCAGGTCAAAGTGTTAATCATTGTTTCATTAGATCACACTCCAATAATCATGATGGTACACCACAATTCGAATGTGAAATCGAAATTAAACCTAATCCAATCGGACAACCAATTTTACGTAATAATAATAGTAATAATAGTATTCCACCTCTTAATTTGAATGGTGGAAATAATAATAATAACAATAATAATCCATCATTTAAATTACAAATTATTCATAAATCTGGTTCTCTCCATAAATTTAATAACTTCACATCCTCATTGGAACAAATTTTAACCAATTAAAATTAAATAATATCAAAATAATAATAATTTTTTTTATAATAAAAGAAAAGAAAAAAAAAGATAACAAATATTGTAAAATATATAGTAAAATTAATAATAGTAACAATAAAATAATAATAATAATAAGAAAAAGAAAAAAAAGAAAAAGGTCAAGCACCATATATAATACGCATAAAAACCAACATCCTTTTTTTTAAAATTTTTTTTTCAACAAAAAATTATTATTTCAGAAAAATATATATATATACATATATAAAATATATAGATTATATATTTAAAATTTTTTTACACAATCAAAATAAAATTTTTAATAAATTCAAACCTTTTAATATATTAACGGTTAAATAATATTAAAAAAAAAAAAAAAACTATTTTAATTTTTTATTAAAATCAAATTTTATCTTTTTTTTGTTTTAGATTTCTGTTGGTTAATAACAATGATTTTAAAAAATAATTTAATGCAGATTAATAGTTTTTTTTTATTTAAATATTGGTATAACACTGGCACGGATGAGCCTTTTAATATATAATTAAATAAAGTGAAAATATCATAGCATTATATCGTTATTGTATTTTTTATTATACAACTTTAATAACGGTGTAATTTATTATAATTTTATTTATTTCCCCCTCTTTCTTTACAAAAGATATTAATTTTTTAAAGAAATAGATTTTTTTTGATTTTTTACCACGCTTTACCACTAATTTACAACTCAAAAATCGAAAAATTTATTTTTGTTTAAAAAAAAGAGAGTCGAGGATATAGAATTATACATAAAGAAAAAAAAAAAAAAAAAAAATAATACCAATACCACCCCCAATATTTTGGATTATACTATTTCACATTTTACAAATTTTTAAATAAAATTTAAATTATATTTATTATTTTAAATCTATTTATCTATATATAGATTTCTATATAAAAAAAAAAAAAAAATTATATAAATATTTATTTAAAAATTATATTAATATTGCAATAATACCAATAAAATAGAATAAAAAAAAAAATTTTAGTTTTCATAAAAAAAAATAAAAAAAAAACTAAAATGTCCAATAAATTTAAAGTATTAGTAAATCAAACTGAAGAAATAAATTTATATAAATATGATTTAAATGATGTCGATAATGATAGTTTAAATTATAATATTATTAATACAAATAGACCAATAGCATATCATAATTTTTGTTTCGATTCTAAAAAATATGATTATATATCAACCGATAGATTTAACTTAAAAGAAAATAAAACAGAATCACTTCAAAAGAAGCCTTACCTTTATTCAAATAATATTAAATTCGTACATGAAAGATACAATGAAATGTAAAATATAAATGTTTTATTTTAAAAAAAAAAACAACAATTAATAGTATTTTATTTTATTTTATTAGGTGTTATATTTGTTCATATGACTTAAATTCTTCAGTTTTAATATGGTCTTGGGAATTTGACAGGCAAATTGAAATTACAGAGCTAATAATGAATACTATTTTTATGACTTTAGATCAAGGCGGAGAAATTAATTGGTATATTTCTACAGAACTTTCAAATGAAATTAATGGTCAATTATCTTTAGAGGAAAATAATATAGTTCAGCTTGTAAGAGATCAGTTTATAAAAATCCCATTTGACTTGGAGTCACCAGTGTATTTTGATCAAAAAGTTAATCTAACAAATTTTGTTAAAAATTCAAATAAATTATATTTGGCATGTATCATAGATAATGATGAAGACCAGAATAAAAATCAATTGTTTCGTTCAAAGTATATATACAACTTAGATCAAGTAGACCAGGAGCCACTTCATAAGCCACAGAAACATCAATATCCATTTAGTATGTTTTTTAATTTATCATTAAAAAATGATTTGGCATTCAAAAAACCAATAGTACAAATTAAAGAGAACCCAGTTTATTTTTTTAGAGAGGAAATGGATTTTTCATATCAAAATATCAAAAAAAATCAACCTATCAAATGGGACGGTCAAAGGGTTGGGGACTGGCTCTTTGATTTGGGTTTTTATGAATTAATACCAAGATTTAAAGCTAATGGAATTGATGGTAAAAAACTATTAGAAAATGGTATAAATAATTTACCGGATAATTTTATTCAAGATCTAAAAAAAAGAAAAAGATATATAAAATCCTTAAATCAATTATTACAAAATTCTAACATGGGTACTGTTTCAGTTGGAACTTATGCAAGTGAGGGCAGGGCTGAAAGATCAAAGTATTCCCATCAATACAAAGATGACTCAATTTTGATATTGGATACACAGGCAAGAATAGATGAGCAGTTTGAAAAGGATTTAGAAACCACTGGCTTTGTTTCATTGGAGCTTGGTGACAAAGAGAATTCTAATTACAAAATAATGGTAGATGATAAAGAGTTTTTTATTCATAAAGAATTATTATCCAATAGTTCGGATTACTTTAAAGCCCTTTTTAACTCAAATTTCAATGAAAACTTAAGTGGTGAAATTATATTTAAAGAAGATACAGACAATTTGACCAAAGAGTCTCTCCAAATCGTTCTAGAATTAACTTATCTGCACACAGAAGAAAATAAAATTGATTATTTAAAGAAATTGTCATTGTACCAAATAGTTACAGTTTTAAAAGTTTGTGACCGATTATTTTTTAATGGTTTAAAAAATGTAACCGAAAAGTATGTAATTTGGAATATTAAATATGAAAATCTAAAATATTTTAATGAAATTTTCAAATTTAATAATAATATACACTTATTTTCAAATTTTTTAATTAAATTTTATAATAAAAATTAAAAAAATTTAATATTTAATAAATTTAAAAAATAAAATTTCTATATTTTAAAAAAACTATTGTTATTATATTAGTTTATTTATATTTTATTATTCATTCCTTTTTTATATAATTTGTATTTCACAATAGACCGATTTTGTAGCTATACAGGCTTTAGATAATAAAATATACTGAAAAAAACAATTTCTCAAAATAACCATTATTATAATCTGAACTTGTATTATTATTGGTTGATGGATTGAATTGCTTAATAATAAATATAAATATGTTTATTTAATTAAAAAAATAAAGAATAAAAAAAAATAATAATAATGCTTTTTAAAATCTCACCATATATCAATGGTTTTTAAATATATGCTATTTTTAATTACTTAAAATTGATAACCATTTATAGTTTAAAATAATGGAAATAATATTCTTTGTACATATGCTTATATGATTAAAATAAAAATATTCGTTTACCCCCTTCTCTTAATCTTTTGACTGTTTTTGGAATTTTTTCGATATCACAACTACCATGACTTCTAATAGTTAACTCTGTGACACTAGGTGGTAATTCTGGCATATCTTCGGGTAAGCTGTCTAAAGTTAATGTTTGAACATTTGGTGGAAGGAATAATGGTACATTATTATGGTTGAAACCATATCCTAATGATAAGGTTCGTAATGATGGCGGTAACGATCCATTGAAAATATTTTGGCTAAAATGATAACCAAATTCTAATGAAGTTAAACTAGATGGTAATGAGTTATCTAAAATTAATTGATCGAATTTTTTTCCAAATTTAATACTACGTACTGTTGCTGGAATAGTGTTGGGTCTGATTTGGCAATTAAAACCTCTACCAAAAACAATATTTTCTACGCCAAATGGAATATCACCTTCTTTAAGTGTTTGGTTAAAACAATCACCAAATGTTAATGATCTGACTGAGTTTGGAATTAGATCTCTTTGTAATGGTTGATCAAAAAAATATCCAAATGTTAACGATGTAACTGAATTTGGAATGAAACCTGATTCTAAATTGTAATCATTAAAATCTATAACTAGGTTTTTAACGTTTTTTGGTATTGTGTTTTTGTTGATTGGTTGATTAAAAAGTGGACTAAATATTAAGGTTTCAAGAGTATCTGGTAATGTGACATTGATTAGTTTATCGAAGTTGTGACCTAAATGTAGAGTTTTAAGTGATGGTGGAAGGCTTTGTTCTAGAATAGTTTGATCGAAACAGGCACCAAATGTAAGAGATATAATGGATGGTGGTAAAGAATTTGCTTTAATTTCACGATTAAAATCCCCACCCAATGTTAGCGAGGTTAACCCATCAGGTAAATATCCTTCAGTAATATCGTATTTGAAATTATCGCCAAACGTAAGAGTCTTGATTGTTGAGGGTAACACACCTTTTAATAGAATTTGATTAAAATTATTACCAAATGTTAATATTTCCACACCTTTGGGAATACAATTCGGATGTAATGCTTGATTGAATTTTTTCCCAAAAATAAGCTTTCTAATGGAGAATGGTAAAGTATGAGGAAGTATTGCATTGTTGAAAGAATAACCAAATGTAAGATTGATGACACTTGATGGAATATCTGCTTGGTTTATTGTTTGGTTAAAGCATTTACCAAAACTTAATGATGTAACCGTGTTTGGTATTGCTCCTGCTTGTAATTTTTTATTAAAACTATCACCAAAAACAATTGTATGTACACCTGACGGGATTGATCCTGGTGTAATATCTGAATTGAATTTATTTCCAAATATTAATGTTTCAATACTTGATGGAACTGTGTATTTAAAAAAATACTCATCTAATATAAAACTAAATATAAATGTAGTAACTGTCGGTGGTATTGATATTTTATTTAAACTCGATTCAATATTATGTGGAGGTTTAAATCTAAAGTAAAAAATAAAATAAATATTAAAAATCATATTTAATTTCGAATAAATTGCCTCTTTTAAAAATAATAACTTACTCTAAAATTTCAACTGAATCAGGTACTAATCCAATTGATTTCTTTTCAGTAACTTTGCAACAAATTTTTAAATATTTAATTAAGTTTCTATGTGGATGATTTCGTAAATCTTTTTTTTTATATGCCTTGAAATATGAATAGGTATTATAAAACTTTACATGTTCCCATATTATATCAAACAAGTATTTGTTTCTGAAAATCGAAAAAAATAATTTTGTTGATAATTCGCCATCTATTATTGAAGTTTTATTTTCAATTATTGTTTGTTCATTGTTATTCTCCATGTTTATTAATGAATGATTATAAATGAAAATAATAATTTTTTTTTTTTTTTATTTAAATAAAAAAAATACGCATTAATATATAAAAGGATTCTTAAAGATTGAAAACTATCCTAATTAAAACAAAAACTAAAATGATTCTTGATAATTAAAGATCTTTGTGAAAAAATATTTTTGAAAATTTAGGATACTCTTGCGCTTTTTTTTTAAATTTTTTTTTTTTTTTAAATTTTGAATTTTATTAATTATAATATTTTTATTTTCCTTTCAAAAACCTTCACAAACCATATTGATACTAACACTAATATTATGGCGCTATTTTTCACTTGTGTTGATGCTTATATTCACACCTCTTTAATAATAAAATGACAATATTATATTTCAAAAAAAAACTATAATATTAAAATACAATTTTTTTTGTTAAAAAATACTTTCTTTCACTTTTAAAATACTTCTACCTAAATAAATCATATTTTTATTTAAAAAAAACATTATAATACCAATCATTGTTGTTTTTATTTTTTCGTACATCACCATTAATCTAAAAATATAATATAAAAATATAATCATTTTAAATACTAAAAACGAATATAATATTATTTTCTTTTTTATTAATAAAAACCTCAACCAATTCAAAACCAAAACAAAAGGTCGAATTATTGTTTTTTTTTTTTTTTTTTTTTTAAAAAAAAAAATAATCAATATTAAATTATATTCATAATTATATTCATTTTTAAAATGTATTTATTTTAGTTAAACTAAAACCTCAACAAATCCAAATCAAAAAAAAAAGGTTGAATTTTTTTTTTTTCTATTATTTTTTATAAAAAAAACATATTATTCTACACATTTTCTAAATTAGCTCTATAAATAGACCCAAAAAATAACTAGATTGCATCAACACTAGGCTTTACAATGCTTTTTAATCTTTCTTTTTTCTTTTTTTTTTTAAAAGCAAAGTTTTTTTTTTTTTTTCATTCTAGTTAATTAATATAAAATAGTTTCTTAAACCTTCTAATGTTACCCATAACAGACATCGTCTAAAAGACTCTACCATTGAATCGTGTATTCTTCTCAAAGAATGGAATCGTCAAATTCAAGATGTTGTACATGATATTCTCAATAAAAAAAAGGAAAAGTTCACAACAAACGCGATAATAATAATAATCATTTTTTCTTATAATAATAAAAACCTTTGTATATTTTCAATTTTTTTTTTTTTTTTTTACAAAAATATTTTATAATTTTATAAATTATTATCCTTTTTTTATCTTTTTTTTTTTTTTTTTTATCCACTTTTATCCTTTTTTCTAAATCTTCCAAGTGATACAAAAAAGGATAACGATAAAGATAATTTTCAACCTCTAAATACTCTTGCAAATTTTTTTTTTTTTTTTTCACATTTCAAAAAAAAAAATTTCAAAATCAAAAATTGTTAATGCTGGTCAAATTTAAATTAATATGGAAATAGACAACAATAAAAAGGTGGAAAGTTATTTCATTTTTTTAATTTATTTTAATATCAGTGTTATAATTTCTGAATAACAATTAACAAAATTCAATGGTACACAATATTTAATCAGATCTTTAAATCATTTAGGTATTGCCATTAATTGAAATATTACCATTTTTTAAATTGGTTATTTGGTTTGTAAGATTTAGTGTTGTTCATTACCAACTCAAATTGAGATAATCCTTCTATTAAAAATTGATTTTTTATTTTCTAAATGAAAGAAATTATGGCCAAATCCTGTGTGCCCAATCAATACATTTCCAAATACATTGGTTTCTAACTATAGATATAAAAAATATTTAATTAGAAAAAACAAAATATTAAAGTATATAAAGACAAAATTAAAATATAATATAAAAAATAACATATTTTTTGTTTTGAAATAAAAATACATTTATTAGGGATATTTTATTAATTTAGAGACCACCTCTTAATCTTAATACTAAATGAAGAGTTGATTCTTTTTGAATATTGTAGTCGGAAAGAGTACGACCATCTTCTAATTGTTTACCGGCAAAAATGAGACGTTGTTGATCTGGTGGGATACCTTCTTTATCTTGGATTTTGGCTTTTACATTTTCGATGGTATCAGAACCTTCGACTTCTAAAGTAATGGTTTTACCAGTTAAGGTTTTTACAAAAATTTGCATACCACCACGAAGTCTTAAAACTAAATGAAGAGTTGATTCTTTTTGAATATTATAGTCGGAAAGAGTACGACCATCTTCTAATTGTTTACCGGCAAAAATGAGACGTTGTTGATCTGGTGGGATACCTTCTTTGTCTTGGATTTTAGCTTTTACATTTTCGATGGTATCAGAACCTTCGACTTCTAAGGTGATAGTCTTACCAGTTAAGGTTTTTACAAAAATTTGCATACCACCACGAAGTCTTAAAACTAAATGGAGGGTAGATTCTTTTTGAATATTGTAGTCGGAAAGAGTACGACCATCTTCTAATTGTTTACCGGCAAAGATAAGTCTTTGTTGATCTGGTGGGATACCTTCTTTATCTTGGATTTTAGCTTTTACATTTTCAATAGTATCAGAACCTTCGACCTCTAAGGTGATGGTTTTGCCAGTAAGGGTTTTTACAAAAATTTGCATGTTTTAAATTATTTACAGAATTTTAAATTATTTATTTGGTTAATTATTTGATTAATTTTAATTGTTTATGAAATTGATTAACAATAAAAAAAATTTGGATTTTTATATTGAAAAAAAAAAAATTATATTGCAAATTTAATTTAAAAAATTTGAGAAAAATAAATTAAAAAAAAATTAAAAAAAATAAAGTTTTTATTATTTATTAGAAAATATCTAAATATCTCTGAAAAACACATTGACTGGGTATAGAGTCAAAAAAAAACCCATTTTTTTTGGGGATCTGTTACAAATTTTTATTTTTTTTAAAAAAGAAGATTCTTAAAATTAAGTATATTAAAACTAAAAATTTCAAATAAATATTATCAAAAAAAAAAAATAAAAAAAAAATAAAAAAAAGAGAAAAAAAAAATTAAGAATTTGGTTTGGCAATAAATAATTTTACAATTAATTTGATCATATTAATTTTAATTTTAATATAAAAAAAGGAATTGTATTTTTTTTTTTATTAATTAAGAATTCTAAAAACACACGATAAATTTATTATTACTATTTTGATGAAGTTATTATTATTATTAAATATAAAAACTATCATTATATTAAAGATTGTTTAGCACCGGTATTTGGATACATATTTGTTTGAGGCATACTATAGGAACTATTATTATTATTTTGATTCATCATACCATTTTGATTAGGGATGTTATTATTTGGTTGAACATAGTTTGAAAATTGAGGATAGTTTGGTGAAAATCCATTATTATTCATCATACCATAGTTTGAGTTTGGGTTATATGGCATTTGCTGTTGTTGACCATATGGATTTTGATTAAAGTTATTATTGCCATTATTCATATTCATATTGTTGTTTCTTCCAAACATATCATTATCGTTTCTAATGGCATTATAATTTGGATAATTTGAAGGTACCAAACTATTATTTGGTTGAATGTTATTATTGGCAGTATTATTATTATTATTATACATTGGAGAGTTATATGGAGAGCTAAATGGATTTGAATTTTGTGATTGGGTGGAGTTTGGTCTAAATGGTGGTGGAGCTGATGGTAATGTATTGGTATTGCCATTGCTATTGGCATTGCTATTATTATTATTGGCCATATTGGGTTTGTTATTATTGAAAAATAGTGATTCACTAGCTGGGAGTGATTTAGCAGTTGATGGAACATAAGGTTGGATTGAACCATTATTTATATTGTTATTCATATTTGCAAAAGGATTATGTTGTTGTCTGTTTGCTACAAATAAATCAAAATCATCTTTTGGTTGTAATTGTTGTTGTGGTTGTTGTGGTTGTTGTGGTTGTTGTTGTGGGAAATTAAATTGTTGTGGTTGTGGTTGTTGTTGTTGGGGTGCAAATGGGTTAAAGTTTGTATTATAAACTGGTTGCTGTTGTTGTATTGGTTGCTGATATGGTTGTAATTGTTGTTGTATTGAAAATGAACTGACCCCATCAGGTGCTTTAAAGAAATCAATTTCTTCCAATTCCTTATGTTTTGTTAAATAAGATGGTTTATTATTGCTGGCTAAGTTATTACTATTATTGCTATTAAAATTATGACCATTTTGTGGTGGTGGAGATAAAGGCTTGAAACCATTATCAACAAAAGCTTTTCTTCTAGCTAAACAAGCGTCATAATCTTTGAGGGCATTATTAATCTCATCATTTAGTTTTAATAAAATGTTTAAATCATTTTCGGAAGCACTACCACTTTCAATCATTTCCTTTACTCTTTGTTGTGATTGTTTACAAGTTTCGAATAACTCTTTAACCAACTCATTTTCTAATGGGTCTTCCTCTTCGACATTTAAGAATGATATCATTTCATTAAAAACTGATGTGCTTCCTTTTATTGATGATATTTCTTGATTCTTAATTGGCCCTGGTGCGCTACTATTGCCGCCATTGGATGAAATCATTGTTGAGCTACGTTGTGGTGATGAAGTATTATAGTTATTCTGGGCTGGGTTGCTGGTTGGATGAATTGATGATGAACTTACAGTTCTTTTTTGTGGTGGATTATTGAAATTTAAAATTGGTGCATCGTTTGATTTTGGTGGGAATTTATAACCTGAACGTTTAATAAATGAATAAGTTTCGTAAAATCCTTGTAAATCGTGTCTTGCTGAGAATGCGTTACCCCAAGACTCAACAATTTCTAATGTCTTTTCTTTAACATTTAATTTTGTCTAATGAAAAAAAAAAAAAAAAAAAGTTAATATTATACCATTTATTTTTAATTTGATACCACTATATTAAATATTTACCTTTTTATTCATAATTAATCTGCATAGCTCTGTTTGAAAAGTTCTTTCTGCAAAATAAACATGAGTGCACTCACAATTTTGAAGTAATGAATCTGCTAACTCCAATGCCAACATTATAACTCTTGATCTATCTTTTAATTTTTTTGTAATCTGCTTTACAACACTTCTTGCACTATAAAAGAAATAATAGTTAATAATTGGTTTTGTTATAAAAAACTGTCTCTATTTGAGTCTAAAATCGATACATACTGGCTTGGATCTCTATTAAGTATATCACTTATTTGTAAAACAGTTGTCCAATCTGTTTGAATTAATAATTCGTTTGTAGCTTTGTCTACAAGTTCAACAACCATTTTTGAATTTTATAATTAAACTATTATTAAAATATTAAAAAAAAAACTATTTTAAAAATTGGAGAAAAAATATATATAATAAAAATTTATATAGAGATTAAAAATTATAATTAAAAAAAAATAAAATAAAATATTTTTTTTATAATATTATTATTATTGTGTTTTGATATAAAATAGTTAATTTTGTGTGAATGTTGGAAAATGTGGTTTATTAAAAATTATTATTATTATTATTATTATTAGTGATAAAAAAAATAAATAAATAAATAAATAAAATAAAATAAAATAAATATTATATAAATATAAATATAAGAATGAGTGTTAGAATGTGTGTTGTGAATAATAATTAAAGTTTAATTTAAAAAAATTTTAAAAAAATATAATTTTTTTAAAAATTAATAAAAAAAAAAATTAAAAAAAAAATTCAAAAAAAAAAAATTATAATTTTTTTTTTTTTTTTTGAGAAAAATGAGACGGTTGAGTGTGAAAATAGTAAGATGGTGTTTTGACACTCAGTTGTGTAAATATTGAAACATAATAATAATTATATTTTATTATTGTTTAAAAGTGAATATATTTAATTTTATTTATTTTATTTTTTTCTCTTTTTTTTTTTTTGATTGGTCTACCAATTCAATTCTTTTGGGAAATATTTTGAAATTAAAGATTGATAGTATGGTTTTAAAGCTTCAACATCAATTGGTTCTGGATCTTTGGAGTATAAGTCAAACTAATAATTGAAATAAAAAAATAAAAGATTAGAATGAGTTTTTTAATTACTGTATGGTTTTTTTTTTTTTGTTTTTTTATTTACCTTATTAAACTCTATAACCCATTTCAACATTTCATTGTCTTGATGATTTAAAAGATTTTGATATTTATTGTGTCTATGCCATGGATAAAATGAATGGAATCTTATCATATATAAAGCTTCTTTTGGTAATGTACTATTGTTGCCGATGCATACTTGGTAAAAATATTCATCATGGCCCCAACTCATGATAACATTATCTAAACCACAGTTTTCTTTATAAACACCACATAATGAATTATATTTGCTATCGTAGTAATCTGGATTGTCCCTAAAGTATTCATAGAAAATATTACTTTCTAAATTAAAATAAAAAAAATATAGGTGAGTATTAAGATCAAAACAAAATGATTTTTTGGTAAAACTTACCATCGTGTCTGCACCCTACAGGAAATGTATCACCTACGGTAGCCCATTGAGGTTCGTTGAATGGTAATTTTGGGGATAATAAAATTTTACCCAAGTCATGAACAAAACCAGTTAAAACGAACCAATCATATTTTTCTTCGGGATATACCTTTCTAATAGCTTCGGCTGTTTGCAAAAGATGATTAATTTGTGGTATATTGCTATCTGGATCACTCTCATCCACTACTGAATTTAATAACTCTGCAGCTTCCCAAATTCCCATTTTGATGCCACTATTTAGTTGTGAGTATTTTAATTTCTTTTCCAATGCAAATTCGTAAGTTTGAAAAGTATGCATGTTTTTATATGCTCTTGATACAAGTGTTTGAGATTCGCTATCATTATAGTTTCTAAATTCCTTTATTTCTTTTGTAATTTCGAATCCTATACCACTAGAGTTATTACCACTATCCAATATATTTGGATCTGAACCACCACTTGATGCACCATTATTTAACACTGTTGTTGTCATTTTTTTAAAAAAAAAAAAAAAACTATTATTTTATATTTTATTTAATTTAATTTTATTTTATTTTATTTTATTTTATTTAATATTATTTTATTTAAATTAAAAATAAACCAAAAAAACCAAAAAAAATAATTAAAGAAAATGATTTTATTTATATTTATATAATATTTATTATAATAGAAATATATATAAAATTATTTTTTTTTATTAATAAAAAAAATATTTATATTGGAAAAAAAGAAATCAATATTGAAAAAAAAAAAAAAAAAAATGTTATAGTTATTGTTATTTAATTAAATTTAAAAAATAAAAAATAAAAAATAAAAAAATAAAAATTAATTAAATTAAAATTAAAATTTTAATACACACATTTTATATTGTGAAAAAACAAACCCCCCAAATAAAAGAAATAATTAATAAAATTTATCTCTTTAAAGTATTAAAATTTTAAATTAGTATTAATTAATTAATTTTTGGAATACAAGGCAGTCGAAATAGGTAATTGAAACAGGTAATTGGATTATAGAATTGAAATAGAAAAAACATATCTTTTTTCGATATAAATATTTTTTTTTAATCAAACAATTTTTGAAATAAACGACAACCATGGTGTTTTATAATAAAAAAAAATGGTTTAAAAAATTTTTTTATTTTTTTTATTTTATTTTTTTTATTTTTATTTTTTTTTTTTTTTTCAATTTTTCTTTTTTTTATTTTTTTTTTTTTCTATTATTTTTTCTACCACTTTTTCTCTCCACTCCAAAATATCTTTTCTATTTTTTTTAAATTATATCCATTAATCAAAATATAATTTTTGTATAATTAATCACAAATTCCAGCTTAAAAAATAAAAAAATTAAAAAAAAATAAAAAAATTATAAAAGGTAAAAATAAAAATAAAAATAAAATAAAAAAAACAACACATCTAAAATCAAAGATTCATATTATATATTTTATTAATAAAATAATAAAATGCATGATAATCAAAATTTTATATAAAAACTAAAATTTAAATATAATATTTATTAAAAAAGTAACAATAAAATAGAAATCAGTAAAAGTAGTTGGTAAATTAGTGTAGTTTTATAAAAAGTATAATAAACAAAATACACATTAGTAAAAGTAATAAATATAATAATAAAAATAAAATAATAATAATGATAATATTTTAGATTTAAAGGCTACTACTACTATATTACTATTAATACCTCTTCCACACAACTATTTTTAATCATCACCATCATCATCATCATCACCATCACCATCACAAATAATTATTAATAATCAATAGTCAAAATCAAATCAAATCAAAAAAAAAATTAAAATTTTAATCACTTTAAAAATAATTTTATACAATACAATTTATATTGTATCGGGTTGTAAATATTTTTGTTTGTTTTTTGTCTGTTTTTTGTCTGTGTATATGTGATATGTGTGTAAGAGACACTCTATAATTGTGATATTATGTTTGTGTGTGTATGTGTTTATTTGTGTAAAGTATTTAGTTTTATTTTATTATTTTCCAATCAATCTAGTTTTATTATTTATTTTTTTTTAAATTAATTTAATAAAAAGAAAAATTCTCTCGCACTATCTATATCTCAAACACACCACCACACCCCACACCCCACTATATAAACTTAATAAAAAAAAAAAAAAAAACACAAATTTTAATACAAAAACCGACTCACAC